TCCTTGAATCCATAGCCCTTCTTACCGTCGTGTTGTTCACCGAAGTGGAGCTTCCAGTAGCTCTCGATCATACCTCCGTATGATCTAGTCCCTCACGGGACTATGTCGTGTGTATCACATTGCCATGAACTGTTCCACCACAATCCGCTACATCATGTTGCCTCCTGGTGACATCTCCATTCCATTCTGATCCTTGTGGGATGAACTCGAATTGTGATCCCTCCATGTGTGGCCTCTACCAATACATCGCAGGGTCTCTTCTACCTTCGATTTTGTTCGCTCCTTTGGCAATTGACCTTCATCCACCCACTCTTGGGTCACACCTAGATGAAGCACTGCTCTAGGATAGTTCGTCGCCTAATAGCTCCCAAAGTCCCTCGACTTCGCCGTAATTAGTGCACCATTGTTTGGATCCTGGGCCTCTGCCCCTACCAACACAATATTCGCTGTGCACCGCTTCCTTCATGGCAACTTGAATGACAACACTATGGCATATTCTTCAAGAGTACCCGCCTCTGCGTCCTCTTGCCCCGTGCTAAGGCCTTCTGAACCCAACTTCGCCTCTGCAAATTGAGTCGCCTTAGTTCCTCCATCAAATGCTTTTCCGAGATAAGGTGCATGTGCCCAGAAGCTCCCTTCATCTTTGGACACCATGCAAGATGAGTCTGCTCCGTCAGAATGAAGGACCCATGGAACAACATGATCATGCTCTTGCCTCTGCAAGAGTTCATGTCCTTGACCTCTGTCCAAGGAAAGCACTGTGCCTCCGCTCCATGTTCCCTCTTCTATGCTGGCTCCCTTCATGTGGCTTGGGTACTTCGCCAAGTTACACCCAAGTTGCTCCGCTCCTCGTTTTTGCATTGAGTTGATGGTGGCCCTCGTGCCCACCATTCCACGGGTCAGCCCTCCCTTGAGTCCAATCTCCATATCGACTCCAAATATGCCTTCATTTGTGTTGCTTTGGGTCGCTCCCTCACTTGATCTCGCAATGCATCCACCAATGCATTCTCTCAAGCGAGAGTATGCGACGACTCCTCGCCGCTTGCTCGGTCAATTGAGCTTCATTGAGTTATTGTTTGTTGAGGTACTCCTCCTCAACATGTGAGGTTCGTCTCACATGATTCTCCCTCTGGAGAGCCGGGACTTATCCCTCCTGGATAATTGTCCTGTTGAAGCAACATCTCTCTTCGTTTCGGAGACCACCATCCCCTTGGACTACTCCGATTTGTTGAATAAACTATGCATTGTTCTGCCTCCTGCCAACGCACTTGCTAGATTGCAACTCCACGTCAATACAGCCCCCGCTGCACCATTCAAGGCTTAGCAATATGCTGAACTCATTGCACACTTCAGCCTCCTACGAACGTATCCTTCACATGCCAAAGAGAAAGTTTCAATGCTCCATGGCGTCGAGTGTCGGTCGCCTTGGGATGGCCGCGAATATTCCATCGTCCGTATATAAGCCTATGTATGAGTACCAAATTCTTTGAGTTAGCAATTCCCCTCACCTCTGTGAGCTTTGCACAACTCTTTCGGTCGTTGAGCAACTCATTCGACCTTGCATGGTCTCATCCTTTACCAAGTGCCTTGCTTGCCTTGAGCACCATCAAGTATTGTTGTCAACGTTGAGCCGTAGCTCAAACTCAGCCATCCCACCCTTTGTGTGCTCCACATTCTTCCAAGTTTGCTTGTTCTTGTGGTGCCTCTTGCGCGAAGGGTTGGCCATTCCTCTACAATCTCAGATGCCCGCTCCTTCGAGCGACTCTTTTCTCTACATCTCCATGCCCGTTTTCCCCCAAACGGTCGCGCGTGTGCTGACTGTCCTCAACACAGCCCCGCTAGGTCCCCTATGTTTGCATGCTATGTGTTTCTATGAGTGCTTGTCCCGCTCTAATGCCATCTGTAACGGACTTAGCTGGTTTTGCCTAAGTCGTGTTGTACCCTTGAGTGTCCGTCCGCAAAGGTCAGCCTCCCCGAAGCCTCCCACGGTCCCTTAGGACCCACAAAAGAGAGAACGGGTTAGA